GAGACAGTAGGGGAAGATAATGGGAGGATGTTGGCACTCTGGTGGCAGGTGTAGTGTAGTAACATTGTATTCTGAAACAGTAACGACAATATAAATAATGTTATGTAAAGAAAAAAATTTTTAAACAACAGTAGTAAATATTTTTTAAAACAACAGTAAATACTATTATCATCTCCAGTTTACATATGAGAAATTTGAATAAAAAAGAAATGATGGGGCTGGAGAAATTATGAGGTAAATACTTGTATGCAAGCAACCCAGGTTTAATTACTGGCATCCAGGATGTTCCCCTGAGCATTGTTTGAGGGATCAAACCCAAGCTTCCTGCTAGCAACGCATACACTTAGCCAATTGAGATGTCTCTCTGGTCCCTTGAGAAAATATTTTTAAAGATTGTCTTACACAGCACAAATCCAAGACAAGGATTGCTGTTTAGTTTGCAGGGTGAAGGGAACCCCCAGAGATAATCAAGGCTAACAGATGTTTGTTAAGGTTATACATGTTTATGATGACAAGTATTCTTTTAAGTGAGGGCAGGTGAGGTAGGAAGTAAGGAATTCTGGTTTGATTCTCAACAAAGTTAAGAATTAACCCAAAACTTGTAAGACTTTTTGCCCCTTGGAATCTCAAAGCAGTTAAAGACTGCATATATGTATTCAGCCCAATGTGTTCTTGATATCCATTGCTATTTTGCTCTCTTGCTTTCCGTATACTGGATTTGCAATACTTTTGCTTCTCAAAGATAGATAGATGATAGATAGATAGATAGATAGATAGATAGATAGATAGATAGATAACATGTAATAACCTTTCATATATAAGACATTGCTGTTTAACCAGTGTGGTCGCTTTTTCTATGATGTGTCATTTCTTGGGACACAACAGACCTGTTTAATACTTTCCGCATGTGAAGAGGATCTCTTCTAAATAATTATCTTTACACATATATGGGGATATCACTGTACAGTCTCTTTTAAAACATTATTTTCTCTTTATTTTATTTTATTTTTTGGTTTTTGGGTCACACCCGGCAATGCACAGGGGTCACTCCTGGCTCATGAACTCAGAATTACTCTTGGCGGTGCTCAGGGGACCATATGGAATGCTGGGAATTGAACCCAGGTCAGCCGCGTGCAAGGCAAACGCCTTACCCGCTATGCTATCACTCCAACCCCTCTCTTTATTTTTTAATTGATAGGAGAATCAGCCCTAGCAATAGATGTTTGAAAATATACTGACTCTAATTTCTGTTTAAACAGAACTGGAATCTAAATCTTTTAGGAACTTAGAAAAAGGCACTTTGTGAACTCTTAATTATAGTGTATATATAGACAGTAGGTCTAACAAAGTGTTATCTCCTCTAATAGACCTAAACTTTGCTTCTCAACAGCAGGAATTTGAGCAAAACTCTGGATGGCTAATATAGTAGGTTTTTCCTACAGTTCACACTAAGGGTGATATGAAAAACAAGATCAGCATGAAATGAACAATGAAAACCTGATACGCAGGTCATACTCAACATTTAGTCAGGAAGGGAGAATTTAGAAAATGAATACTGCCAAAACAAACCAGAGCAGAAATACGTGGGGGAAAAAAAGAGTAGAAATAAGATTAGCTAAAACTAAGATTTAGCCACAAGAAATACTTCTAGGGTTCCTTTAAACCTTGGGAGGGAAACCATAAAAGGCAATGAACTGATTCTGACACCACAATAATAATGATGATAATAAGAGCAGCTAACATTATCAAACGCTTACTCAGTGCCAAAATGTATGCTAACTGCTTTATAACAAATGATCTCATTTAGCCAGCCAGATTTTATATTTACTTTATTTTTAAAAGTATATCCTATGGTACATTTCTGTGTGGAAAAAAAATTCGAGGAGTGTGATTCCTTCTTTTGCATTCCTTTCAGCTAATAACCTTTGGGAATATTTTGATGAATCCTTAATTTTCTGACATGCAATGATTTTAGATTAGATTTTTAATGTGCTGGTGATAGAGCTTTTATGACTTGTCCTCCTCAGTTGCTTGAGAATGTTCTGGTGAACTGTTAGTCCTGTACTTTTATATAATTATCATTTCTCTGGCAATTGGCTAACAAACTCATCAGGAAATCATTGCTTTTTTTAGTCTTCAAAAATGTGTTAGTTGCCTCATTTCTATGGGTTTTGGTTTTTATTTAGCTTTGTTACGTATGTTACTATTAACTCTATGACAGCTTACATTGCAGCATATCATTTTGATGAATTTTAAAAGGTTTCATTCTTTCTTAGGATTTTTTGTTGTTGGGTGAGTTCATGTGACTGCTTTGTTCTGAATTTTACTAACCACTTAAAGTAGGAAATGGCACTTTTTGTTCTGTACATATATTTTGTCACAATTGTTTATTTTTCTATAATTCAAAATATTACATGCCTACTAGGTATTTAAGAGGCTTAATTGAAATCATACATGTAAATATATTTAGCCTAGTGGGCTTTTCTGTTAACATCCCTGAGTTTTTGTTTTAGATTCATAATGTGCTGCTTTTTACATTAGAACAAAAGCCCCCAAATGTCGGTTCATCAGCTGACAATACCAGTTTTGTCTCTTAATTAGAAAAGAGAATAAAGCTGTTTAGGGGTGTCAATAAAATGACAGATGCATCATTAGCAGACGGCTATGGTGGATCAGTTTTGTGCAAATACTTGGAATGGAATTAATAAGAATTTCTGCTAGCATATTTAAATCGAAAGCTTAGGGGAAGAAAGCCGTGTTTTAGTGTGGTGAAAAGTAAAAGAATCAGAGTGAACAACCATTTATGACTGAATAAAGAAGAGTGTGAAAGCAAGCTTACTGCAGTAGAGAATGTAATATGAACATGTTTTAGGAAATGTTGTGAAGAATTTTATATCTTATTAAATTTAGATCACAAATGACTCACTATAGATGTTGAATCATTTAATAAATAATTATTGAGGCTCTTCTATGTTCCAGGTGGTAAATTCAATGAAAGAATACATGCTGATTCCAACCCCAATGTGACTGTCCCTTATAATTTGTGGGACAAAATTCAGCCATAAATCTTTTAAGAGATTCTTCAAAGATTTGGGATGGTCTCTCACTGCAAAAACCCAGGTCACTGGTTATGATTAATAGTACGATAATTCTATTTAGTTCACATTTTCTGAATGAATGACCAGATTGCTTAGGGGTTTGACCAGGTACACGTGGGTGTGTCATGCACACATCATGTTATTCAGTGATCAGGAAGCACCTTGTCCACCAAGCGCTAAACACTGTGCTAGAATTCATCTGCCTCACAGGGACTGGGAGGGGTGGGGGGTGGGGTTTTATTGGAGTTCTTCATGGTAAAAAATAAGTATTGGTAAAGGGAAATGTGTTTGATATTTGCATGACTGAGACCTAAACCTGAAAGCTTTGTAAGCTTTCCCACAGTGATTCAATAAATAAATAAATAAATAAATAAATAAAATAAATATGCTATAAATTGGGCTGGAAAAAAAATAAACACTGTGCTTGACAGTTACTGTAATCCCAAACTTAAAATAATGCTACCTCAAGTTGGTAACACAAAAAATTCACTAATGAGTTATTGAGAAAAGAATTCATGTAAAACTGAAACCAAGCAGTAAAAGTGCAGTCCGTGGATTGGAGCGATAGCACTTGCCCTGCACATAGCCCCCCTGGGATCCTTGGCACCACATATATTCCTATGAGCCCTAACAAGAGTGATCCTTGAGCATAGAGCCAGGAGAAATCCCTGAGCACTGCCTGGTATCCCCTCCCACCCCACCCCCCCCCACACATATACACAAAGAAAGAAAGAGAAATGCAGTCACATCCCACAAGAAGGTCCTAGTTTAGCCTGCATATGTTGACTGTATCATGGATCTCTAAGAGTCAGACTTGAAGATGTATGTGCACATGTCCTAGTAAAAGTATGTAGGAAAAATATATCTGCCCTCAGGACCTGGATGCATAATATTGTGGGTAATTCTGCAATTATGTCAAAAAAATTCTAGTGCTTGAGTGAGGAACTTCCACACTCTCCCTTTTTTCATGCTTATTAAAGCCATTGTTCCAGTGTGTATCTAGTGTATTTAACACCCAAAGTGTATTTTTAATACACATAAGTCTATATTTGGGTTTCTTAAACTTTTTGCATTTAAGATCCCTTTTTGCCTGAGAAATGTAACAGGCCACCGCTGTCAGAAATACCTCAGATTCATTATGTGGTCAATTTTGTATTAATTTTTTGGATGTTTCTTATTTAGAAATGTTTTTAAGACCACCGCATTTAGTTATGCTATCCCTCTGACTCACATTTTAAGAGCCTAAACTCTATTTGACATTACACTTTAATGAAAAATTATGTGAAAATTACCAATAGGTCTTTTGTTAATATTTTAATTAATAAGGAGAAATTTTGATCTATAATGTTATTTTAAATTAGTAAACATTGCATATGTGAGCTGATATTGCATTTTCCAAGCAAAACCATGACACCATACAGTTTGCATTGCTTAAGTGCTTAAAATTTTAAGCATAAATAAAAATACCAGTGGACTACATTGAATGACAGTTTATTAGGTAATTAATTAACTTATTTGTTTATATTTATTTGAGCAGTGCTCATAGCTTACATCAGGCTCTGTGCTCAGGGATCACTTCTGGTAAAGCTTGGGGGACCATATGCAGAGCTAGGGACTGAATTGAGGTTGGCTGCTTACAAGGTAAATGCCAAAACATCCTATCTCTATTGCTTCAAATAGCAATTTTAATATGGGTTCTGTTTCTTCACTGTTACAATCTCTCTTTTTGTTTGTTATGTTTTCTCAGTTTTAAATAGAGAAAGAGAATAAGTGAACTGAATAAAACATAAAAAATCCTTTGCACTATAAGACCAGTTAGTGGATAAAAGGATAGTAGGGGTTAGGATAGTGGCTACATTAAGAACAAAGAGGTTAATTATATGGAGAAAAATAGAATTGTACCTTCAGTGATGAACTTAAATGTAGTTTATACACATGTTGATTTTCAGTGATGCTGATACTTAAACACCTGAAACATAAAATGTTTAAAATATTACAATAAAAAAATGACTACACAGAACCACCAGATTAAGAGATGTGTATTGGATCCCAAACAAGTTTATATGATGTCAAACAGTTAAAACTTTAGTCTTAAAATAAATGCCTGTCTCTGAGTCTCAGTATGTCAGAATGTCACTGTCACTGTTACTGTCCTCCCATTGTTCATCGATTTGCTCGAGCGGGCCCAGTAACGTCTCCATTGTGACACTTGTTACTGTGTTTGGTATATCGAATACGTCACGGGGAGCTTGCCAGGCTCTGCCTTGCGGGCGAGATACTCTCTGTAGCTTGCCGGGCTCTCCAGAGGGGCGGAGAAATCGAACTCGGGTTGGCCATGTTGGCTGCGTGCAAGGCAAACGCCCTACCCGCTGTGCTATTGCTCCAGCCCCCAAGTTTATTTTTCATACAGAATACCATGCTCATGAAAAGAAACACTAGAACAATTTGTTAATTTGTATTAGCCCCCAGATTTTTCAGAATTCAGAATGAGAATTCAAATGAGAAAAGTTATTTGTTTTCTTTAACCACTACCATTGGTTACAGTTGTTGGTTCATGGTGATAGTAAAGAGAAAAGCAGCTTTAGTCTTTTGTTATGATTTCAGTTCTCTGCAGAGAGTGCCCACCTTGTTCTCTGTATTCAGGACTAAAGACTCCCCCTTTTTTGTCCTTGGTTTGCCATTGTACTTAATCACCTACTTCCACAAAGAAAGAGAGAGAAATGAAGTCATATCCCACAAGAAGGTCCTACTTTAGCGTGTGTGGAGCCCGGCTGCCTGACATTAGAACCAGGATTTTCCCCCAGATAGTCCCTATGAGCACTCACTGACCTATACCTCTACCTGGTCTGACACATAGGTATCCGAACTATGGGTTTCTGTTTTTTTAATGCCCTGGTGCAATTCACTGACTCAGAATTAGCAGTCTAGATTTTGTAATGCTGGACCTACCATCCCTACAGCCCCTCTCTGCCTGTACTGACACCCATATTCCTCTCATGTGGCTAACCAGCTTTGTCCGAACTCTAGCTTTTGTCCCTGTGCCTCCCAGGCTTACTTGCTGACCCCGTTCTTTGTGACACTACCAATGTCCTTGGCTTTGTTGGTTAGCAAGAAGATATGTGTGTGTAAATTTCTGCCAGCAGGTCTGCAAGTAGGTGTGAGAAAACATTTTGCTTTCATTATCTGAGACCAATGAAAGAAACCAACTGCTGAGGCATAGCTTTATGAAAGATGGAGCTAGAGCCCTCATCTCCCCTTTCCGCTGTTCACATGGAAGTGATCCTGGTAGTGGGTTTCTGATACAAAACTTTCCCGTATTTTCTCACTCGTCAATTTTTCACAAGTGGTGTTGAGGCATTGAGGGGTGGGGTGTGCTTGGGAATTTCCAGAGCAGTGTTCAGGGTCACACAGGCCATTTCCTGTGATCTCCACCAAATAGTTGGCATTTTTGTGCTAAAGCCCAAGGATGCAGGAACTGCTCAAACACTGCAGTATGAGACCACCAAGACAAAAGTAGTGCTGGGGACCACCAGGGCTACACCTGGCAGTGATGGGGCTTCTAGGATGCCACCCTGTGGCATTTGGAGGACAGTGGAGGCACTAGGATTTGAACTCAAGTCCTGAAGGATGCAAATCATGTGCTCTTATCACTATCACACTGGCCTTTAAAAATATATATATATATATATGTATGTATGTGTGTATGTAGGTTGTCTTACCCTTAATCTAAGTGTCTTCCAAACTGTAGAATGTCCTCTCTACTCTATCTTTTATTCGCCATCAATTCCCAACCTATGCTTGGATCCATGCTTGGTTCATGCTGGTTTCTTTTCTACATTCCCCTGTGCCAGCTTCAAAATTTCTACTTTCCCTCCAAGTCACCATAGCCACGTGACATCCCCTCTGCAACCCACCCTTACCTCCCCAAATGAGTTCCTGTCATTCTCTCTTCCCCACGGCCATCTGTGAGCACCTCTGTAAAGCAATGCCTACGTCATACCATACTTTCAATTGTATACTTTCCCATAACTGCTATAGATCTCTTGCAAGAGGGGCTGTTTTGTTCATTATACACGTGTCCAGTATCCAGCACAGTAAATATTTTAATTTTAAAAACGTTAAAGAATGAGTTGATGCAAAAAATAAATAAAACTGTGTGGTGATTTTGTAAATTGAAACTTAAAAATATTTACTTAAAGATATGTTTGCTCCATAGTTTGGAATGAAATTCAGAAAAATTGCCCAAATGACCAAGTTTAGAGAAACCAAAGAGAATACAAATAGGCCATATCAAACTCAGTGCAATAAAGCTATTATTGCTATACAGAACATTATGTAGTAGTTGCTGTTTATATTTAAAAACTCCAGTTTAAAAATCTTTAAATTGTGATTATTGTATGATGAGACTGAGTCAGGGAAATTTGTGATAAAATTTACAGTTATTGCAATAGCCAGAATGAAATGAACAAAGCTCATCAAAAGTATTTTATTTCTTTATGATTCAAAACAAATATATTGCCTTATTTTATCGTTACTTAAAGTGCACAAGATCTGTAGTATGTTCGGAGCTATATTGCTCTGAAGGATTTTTCTACATATTCCATAATGTTTTAGCATCAGCTTGCTTAGTTTCTGCAGAAAAGAAAATACTCACCTTCACTCATTTTTATAAGACAAAGTCAGGTGAGGAAAGTAAGCTGAAACATCAATGCCATCACTTACTATTATTAATTTTTAAAATATAATTATTCGTTCACACATTCATTCTTTCAACAAACATGTATCAAACACTTGCTATAAGCCACACACTTGCCAGGCTCTAGGCAAAGGAAGTCCATCAAGGTCGAAGGTGTGTGGGGCTGATCCACAGGAAATCTCTTGAGGACAGCGTAGTTTGTGCACTCACAAAGGTGAATACTCTCAACTTTGGAAACAGAGGCTCTTTGAAATTGGAAACACCAAAGTACAAAACTGAAAAATGGAAATGAATTGAAATTGTTGGTTTCTTTGTGTCTTATAGCTCTGGTCGGTAATCAGCTGTTAAATTCAGCAAAAATTCCATTGCTTTAATTAATTTCTTTGTGCTGATTCTTCCTAGGAAGCCTTAATTTTAACAAAGTTAATTAGGTTGAAGATTAAAAATCCCATTAGTGTCGATCATTCACTTCTTGGCTGTGTCAACAAGGTGCTAAAACCTTGCTTAGTTCCGGAGTCACAGAAGGATGGAAGGGGGAAAAGGAGCACTCAGACTAGCATTTGGCATTCTTCAGGACCAGATACTTTGTGCAGCCTTTAAGATTTGAAGAGGATAATCTCACGCAACCATCATTTTAAAGCGTATCTTTATATTTTCCTAACAGCACCTTTCTCAAATCCCTTAGCTCTGCGATACGTTTGCTGAGAAACTCCATCCCATCTTCTCTGATTATCTAATTTGCAGGTTTGCAGGGCATGGATTTTTAATCAAGGACCTGTTTCCATTGTCACTTTGCCTGCCTGTTTATTATGGTTAAAGACTCAATAGTAGCTAATACCTCACCGAGGGCAGGAAAGAACAAACAATTAATAGAATCATGAATTACCTGCAGGTCATAATTCTGCTCCAAATACTGGTTTGTTTGAGTTATGCTTTCTGCTTGGGCTCCCACATCTGACTTACAAATGACAACCGCAGAAATTCAACCACATTATTATTAACCTCACTCCCAGAAAGAGATGATAGTACCAACGTGGCAGCTACAGAATCAGAAGTGGGACCAGAGCAAAGGAATATAAACTGCAGCTGCAGGTCCAAACATACCAACTTGCTCACAGTAGAAAGTTATTAATGGGGGAACCCAGAGATCATGAGGGAAGTAGGAAGCTGTCTAAAATTACCTTTCAGCAACAGCATGCCAATGGCATTTTCTCAATAGAGGTGAAGGCTATGGGGAAATTGAACAAAGGTTAAGGTTGACAAAATGTAAGCATTTTGAAGAATATTATTTTCCAAATATATTCTTTCTGAAAAGAATATGAGGTGACATAAAACTTGTTTGAGACACTAGGGTGTACAAGATTTAAGTGATTTAAGATTTAAGATTTAAGAGGAGGTGAGGTAGATAACTTTAACCATGAAGATCCTGTGTGTATGTGTGTGTGTGTGTGTGTGTGTATTGCATATGTGCACATATATAATTGGAGGCCGAAAAGGTAGATAGTGGGGCAGAATGTTTTTGACATGATTGATAATAAAAATTGTTGAGTTAACACAGGAAAGGCTATTTTTTTCCCTTGAGTTACTGCCTATAATTCCTAGCATGCCTATAAGTAGAAATAGTATTGTTAATATATTATATACTATTATGTATGGTTCATATCTGTAAATTTTGATTCAGTGTGTATTGGAAGAGTCCTAGTAGGATGAAAAAAGGGTTTCTTTTTTAAAAATAAATGGTCTCTCAGTATAGTAACATTAAAAATTATTGAAAAATTGAAACCATGGGGAATGCTTCTAATTTTTTTTATTAGTGAAACACCATGAGGTACAGTTATAGACTTATAAATTTTTGTGCTTGGGTTTCAGTTATACAATGATCAAGTACCCATCCCTCAAACAGTGCCCATCCTCCACCACCACTGATTCCAGCATCCCTTCCACCCCCCATCCCCCCGTCTCACCCTCTCTCCCTCACCCTCTCTGTGGCAGGGCATTCCCCCTTGTTCACTCTCTCTTCTTTTGGGTACTGTGTTTTGCAAGAGAGGCATTGAGTGGCAATCATGTTTGGTCTATAGACTACTTTCAGCATGCTTCTCCCACCCTGGGAGGATCCTCACAACACCCGTTATTTGGTGCTCTCTTCTCTATCTGAGCTTCCTTTTCCCCTAGCACGTGTGGCTGGCCTCCAAGTCATGGAGCAAAATTCCTGGTACTAATCTCAGCCTGTGAATTTATACCCAAGCAGCTCTTCTGCCATGGAAATCCCTTTC